GCTTAGTAAGATCAGTGTTCGACTCGACTCAGTTCGTTTGAAACTTGCTAGTGGGTTTATTGATAAAATTACGACTCAGACAAAACAGATATTGTTCTAGTCTTTATGGCAATTACCAGAAAGTTGAAATCTTAAATATTGTTAACTTGATTTGGTCAACAAAATCATCTTAGTTATAATCAAGTGTAGTTTATAATTAATGAATGCTTTTGTGGAAATTTTTCATTGTAACGTCCACACAATGAATATTGAATTGCTATATGGATTTCAAAATAAAGTGAGAAAATGCTTAAAAGTTACTTTACTTTTCTTTTTGTCTACAAAGGGAAAAAAAGTGAGAAAAATATCAATGGATATGCAATCATGAGAGCAATTTACTTATTTTCATTTTAATATTTAAAATCATTGTGACCCTTGATTCCATGTTTCTTCTCCTCTTGTGGTGGGCAAAAAACCACTCCAAATCCTGTGCTGTTTATTTGTTTTGTTTGAGAAAGTGTCACATGGTATGTCTTTATGGGGAAAGGGTGATTTACTGATTTTCCATATAAAAACATAAAAGATACAAATCTTAAGAAAATATTTCCCTTTCTCATTTATTTTTACATTAATGCACAATACCATCTATAGCATTATTGTCTGGTTTTGTTTACAAATCGAGCTCGGTTCGACTCAATAAAGCAGCTTCAGGAGCTCGGCTCATGTACGCCTCACATACCTTTTAAAGAAAATCTCACATACCGTTTAAAGAAAATCATAAAATTGAACAGTCTTTTTACTTCATGACTCTTATAAACTTGTGTTTAAGTTCAACAAGAGTATCTCATCAATTGTTTTGGTTAATAATAATAATTTTTCATAGTGAAAATTCTTTGAACAAAGCTGAAAATTATTTTTCTAATTGTTGGAACTGATTTTTGTTCTCTTTCTGCTTAAAAAAAAAAAAGGTCATTCTTAGGGCATCCGCATCAATCTATTAATTTGGATCATTTAAATGAGAGATGCCCCATTCAACCAATGCAGGTGTTCATTTATTTGTGGGCCCAGATCTGCCATTCAATCCCCTTAACGGCTCTTTTGAGCTTTATTTAATTTTATTTTTATTTTTTTTTTGCTGCTTTTTTTGTTGTTTTCTCAACGGCTCATTTTGAGCTTTTTTTATTTATTTTTTTTCCAGCTTCNATAGACAAAACTTTCAAAATTTCTCAAGTTCTAATCCTACCAATCCTGATGAATTTTCACAAACTCCTTATCCTGCACAATTTTTTCCACAATTCCCATCAAATTTTCCTTTTATGCAACAATTCCAAAATTATCCAATGTCTGGGAATATTTAATATTCACAATATCCTCCACAAACTTTATTTCAAAACCCACCACCTGAATATTGGCAATACATAAATAGTCAAAATATGGTGCAATCTTCTCCGCAACAATCGAGTCAATCTTCCGGATCTCAAATGAGGAAAGAACTCGATACTCAACCTTACGTTCCGGAAACACAATTGCAGGATCGTGAAGCAGCCATAAATGGTGAAATGCCAAGAAACACATGTGTTGCTGCCAAGGGCCGAAAAAAACGTCTACAATGGACAACGGAAGAGGACGTACTATTGGCAAAGGCTTATGTGACAATAAGTGACGATCCTATTACCGGTAATGATCAGAAGGCCGAAGCGTTTTGGGTACGTGTTGCAAAGTATTATAATGAAAATACAACTTTTGATTATATTTACAGAGATTTTAATATGATAAGATCTCACTGGCATAATACAATTCAAAAAAATGTGTATCGGTTCAATGAGTGCTATAACAGTATTTACTGTGTGTATCGAAGTGGTTTTAGTGATGAGGATATATTAAGTCGGGCTTACGAAAAATATCGTAGTGAGAGTAATGGTGTAGCCTTCAATCTTGAGCATGTGTGGAGAATCCTAAAAGATCGTCCTATGTTCACTCCACAATCTTCTAATGATATTTTTGTTGAGAGAAAAAAAACGAGGATTGATGAGTCTGGTGCCAACAACACTTCATCAAAGGGGGATGCGAGCATTGATCTAGATGAACTTCATGAAGTGACTCGCCCAATCGGACAAAAGGCAGCTAAACGAAAAGGCAAGGGCAAAGGAAAATCTAACCTTGATGAGATGACCACAGAATGCAACAACATGGTTAAGCATCTTGCTGAGTTGACAAGCTTGAAAAAAGCTGAAGTTGAAGTTAAAAAAGAAACTCTTGAGGAAAAGAAGTAGAGGAATCGTCGAAAAGACTATGATATTTTAATGAGGGACACAAGCCGCATGACCTAAGAGAAACGTATTACTCATGAGAAAATGTGTCAAGTAATTCGAGAGAAATGGAACTTTTAGACTTTGCATTATCTATTTTAATTATCCTTGTAATTTTGTACGTTGTGATTTGCAAAATTAAAATTTTAACCTGTATTTTATTTAAGTTGTTCTTGTTATTCAAAGCAAACTCACATATTTTATTCAAAACAAACTCACATATTAAAAGCAAACTCACATGTTTCCTAGTCAAAACAAGGAAGCTTCCTCACAATTTCCTATTCAAAGGAAGGGAGCTTCCTTACAACTTCTTAGTCAAAGAAAGGAAACTTCCTCGTAAGTTCCTAGTCAAAGGAAGGGAGCTTCCTCGTAAGTTCCTGGTCAAATGAAGGGAGCTTCCTCGCAACTTCCTTGCAAGAAGCATTTGTTTGGCTATAAATACCTCATTTTGTATCTCATTCTAAGTGAAAGAAAAAGAAGAGTCGAGTTTAGAGAGTGAGTCTTTTATTGTTTTCACATTGGTTTGTTGTTGTTATTCCATCTTGTCCGATTCTATTTCCTAACAATTTACACACTTTAAATTCAATTAGAATCCTCACAAAATGTCTCAAAATTCATATAGATCCGAGTCTAATTCATCATCATCCACCGATAGTGAAGATGGTGATAACACTAACGATTTAGAAGTTGAAATGATTTCATCAATTGTTCAACGAAGCCACGAGTTACTTCAAGCATACCAACATGAAATTGAATTTCGTAGAAGAAGAAGGTTCATCCAGAGAAATCGAGAAGATGGGCATAACAGACTTTTAAGTGATTATTTCTCTGACCATCCTCTCTACCCGCATCATATATTTCGTAGGCGTTTCCGTATGCGAAGAGAATTATTCCTTTGAATTGTGAATGCACTTCAGACACAATCATCATATTTCCAGCAAAACTTTGATGCATCGGGAAGACAAAGTTTGTCACCACTTAAAAAATGCACAGCAGCCATTCGTCAGTTAGCTTATGGAGTCCCAGTTGACCATCTTGATGAGTATTTACGTATGGGTGAGTCAACTGCTATCAAGTGTTATATTAAATTTTGTGAAAGTGTGGTTCAAATTTTCGGTGATGAATATTTGAGAAGACCGAATAGTAGCGATGTTCAAAGACTCCTCCAAATGCATGAAGAAAATCATGGTTTTTCGGGTATGCTTGGAAGCCTTGATTATATTGGGAATGGAAAAATTGTCCAGTTGCTTGGAAAGGCCAATTTACAAGAGGACATGGGTCTCCTACGATTGTCCTTGAAGCAGTTGCTTCACACGATTTGTGGATATGACATGCCTTTTTTGGTGTTGCAGGATCACGTAACGATATCAATGTATTGTATGAATCTCCTCTATTTAATAATGTGTTGCAAGAAAATGCACCAAACATTAATTTTACGGTCAACGGCACGCAATATGCAAATGAGTATTATCTTACATATGGAATATATCCAGAATGGGCTACGTTCGTAAAGTCTTTTCTTTGCCCGTCAGATCCTAAAAGAAAGTTATTTAAAGAAAAACAAGAAGCTGCTCGAAAGGATGTGGAAAGAGCATTTGGGGTGCTTCAGTCTTGATGGACAATTGTAAGAGGTCCTACTCGATTTTGGTATAGAAGAAAACTGAAGTTTGTTATGTTGACATGAATTATTCTACACAATATGATTGTTGAAAATGAAGGAGTTGTAGTAACAAATTGACACAATGACGAGGATGAAGAGCCAGCACAACCTGTCCAGGGTTCAAATCGAGAATTTCAAAATTATATCCATAGAAGTTCAGAGATACGAGATAACATAGTTCACCATCAACTTCGTGCCGATTTAGTTGAGCATATTTGGACTCATTTTAGCCAGTAAAAAAATTATATTTTGTAATTGTACTATTTTTTCTTGTGTAATCTTAATTTAAGTTATTTTTGGTCTTGTAGTGTTCTTTTACTTTCATGCATTTAAAATTTATTATTATAATTTAAAAATATTAATTTTTTATTTTTATTAAGAATAGAATATTAAAATTTATATTGAATGAATGGATGAGTCTCATATTTGTATTTAAATGAATGTGTAGGGATGCGGGTGTGTGTTTAAATGGAGAGAGAAGATGATGTGGATGAGAGAGAGTGTAACTTTTTTATTGAATGAATGAGAAAAAAATTTATGGATGTGGACCTTACAAATAATCTGACATTTTATTTTATTCTTTTACTGAAAATGAATCATTATCTTAGTATCAAGCACAAGATATTTGCTAATTAAATAGAGACAAAATGATGTACAAACGAAGGATGATGATGGGGAAGTTGAAAGACAGAGCAAAAGGCAGAAAAAGCTTAAAACAGTTTGAAACTTTTTCCTGCAGAGAAAACACACAGAGACACGCATTGGAGCACTTACTGTTCACCAAAAGTGAAAACACACGAAAAAAATCATACATAGTATGCCACTCACGCACACCTCATGCTCATAGTGCATGCTCTTGAAATGTGAAACTTCAAAAGCAAAAACAATATTTTTCAGTACAACGATTACTAACCTTGGATCCACAAAACAAAAAAAGAATTATTTCCTTTATATTTCAATTTTTGTTTTTCTCATAGATGTCCCAATGTTAAATCTTGAGTGTTGTTGCTAAAATAAGAGAGATTTCTACTCATTTTTGTCACCTTTAAAGGCTAAAAGCATCCTTAAATTTCTTGTCACAGTCTAAATGGGCGCGAGGTGTTCGAAATATTGCTGCTGTTGGTGGCCTTCTAATCTCAAGCCGCTGGCTCGTGAGCCTTGTGATCTGGGTTAGTTTGTTTTCCTCTGTAGAATGATTTTGATCGATTCTTGTTTTGTAGGTACTTACAAAAAAGGTGATTTTTTTTTTTTTTTTTT